TCTGCTGTGCAAAACACGAATCCTGGTTTTAATCCTTGCTTATGTTTAATTTCCAACTCCCTTATTTCTCAGGGGATTTTGATACTTCTTGTCAAATGCCTCTCATCACCTTTCCTGCCTTTCTTCCTGGTCCAGTCCCTTCTCTCTGGCTTACTGCTACAGCCTCAGGACATGCTACTTCTTGACTCAAATCCACCATGAGTAAGGCTTGGATCCTTACCCTAAACCCTAACAAGACTGACATTGGCTCCCTACCTGTATGGCTTCAGCCCTCCCACTCTTTGTGTCACTCACTCTACTCCAAGCACAACCTTACTGTTAAGTGAATGCCTCAGGCCCTTTGCCCCCTCTCTTCCTTCATCCTGGAATGCGCTTTCACCAGATATCCACATGTTTTCGTCTCTTACTTCATTTAGGCCTCTGCTTTAATATCACCTCATCGGAGAGAGCCTCCTTGACGCTCATGAAGAAAATGTCATTACACTTCATCCCTTTATTCCATTTTATTTTCCCTTTATATCACTTAACACCAACTAAAATAAATTAAATACTGTTTGTTGACTGAAGAGCCTCCAAACTGGCTTCTCTCCTCCGATTTTTTCAGTTCAACCTATTAAAGTTTGCATTGCTTTCCTTTAAACACCAGTTTGGTCACGTCAAGGTTTCCAAAGACTTACTGCTTCTTAAGGTAAAGACTATAATCTAACTTCACTTGCTAACTCTAGTTACACCTTCTCTTACTCTTCTCTTGTACGTCCCAAGTCACATGGACTCACAGAAACGGCTTCCCTTTGATACTCTCTCTCTCTCTCTCTCATTCATTTTACGGAATTTATCATCTTACACTGTATAAATCACACCTAAGCACGCCTTCTCAAGTTATTATTTCCCACCTCTTTTATCTCTTTTATCTGAACTCCGCACCTCACTGAGACCATCTGCAATGGAAAGCTTAACAAGATTTTTGAAGTTTTAGTGTCAAGCACTGCTCATTCTTAAGTTGAAGTTATTTTTCCCCTTGTGGAGTTTGGAGTTTTTAGAGACTGTCAGTGGTTCTTCCGTTAGTCATTTCTCTTTGGAGCAATCACAAATGCTGCTCTCTACAAAGAGATGAAAATATTCCATCTGCATGACACCCTAAAGTACTGGTTGGAGGTGGGTCGAAATTGCTTTTTGGAGACGGGACTGACAGCTGAGAGCTCAGTTAATGTTTCCAATTTTTGTTTTTAATCTCTTCTCAGATAATACCGTGTACCTGCTGGTGGTGAACCATCCAAATATGCAGTGCACTGTTGAGTTGTTTAAATTTCAACCAGAAGAAAAATCACTTTTGCATCTGAAAACCATCAGACACAAACTTCTGCACAGGTAGTGAGGCATATCACATTTCTATTTCCCGTTAACACTGGTAGATGGTTAATCCACTTTCAGTTTTTCCTTTTGTGGGGGAGTGGGGGGAGAGGGAGGGAGATGATAGCTGTACAGCTCTCCTTTCTAATGATCACAAGCTCCTCCAAATACTCTTCTGTAGAAATTTTGAGGACTCAGGCCCCTCAGAGAAAACCCATTCTCTTCAGCCCTCATGTTCCAGGCTGGTTGGATGCTGGCCTCATGATGTCTGTTTGGTTTACCAAGAAAAAAAATTCTGCTGTTTTCCAAAAACAGACTTAGTATTTCAAACCCAAACCAGTTTTGTAGACACATTCTACATCTTGAGCTTATTTATTTATTTATTTATTTATTTTCATATTGGAAAAAATGGAATCTTAGATGTTTTTATGAATTAGAAACACATACCTAAGAGATCTGAAATCTGATGCCTCTAAGAGCTTCCTGCACTGTCTCTGCTGTTTGGGTGCACGCGATTTATGAAATAATGGATCTGTGGTTAACACTCAACTCCTGGGCTCCTTGACAATATAAAATATGGAAAAATAAAACACTCAGGGATCCCTGATCCCTGTCAACCCAACACAAAGTCAACTTCCTTGCTTGCTATAGGGTTTGGTTTATAAGGCTAGTGATGGGTTTAGGACAATAATTCGACACTATCTTCCCAAACAATTTTTATCCTCTAATCATTGTGGTTTTCCAGAATCCCAACCTCTATTTGAATAATTTACGTACAGATTTCAACTACCTCAGCATTTGTAAATCTAAATTTATTTTAATTCGTGTGTTAGTTATCTGCAGGTCCCTAGGAAAGCACCTGGTACACAGTTGGTGCTCAGTGTTACTAGGGTCTCCTCCCCTCCTTTCTTAACCTTGTGGTTTTGAAGATGAGGAAACTGAGTTCCTGGATGAAGGTCAATCAACCAAATAATGGCTGAGTAACTGAGCCACAGGTCTTTTTCTGCATCCTTAGGAAGAATGAAAATTCACAGACTCATTTGTTTTTTGGGGTTTTTTTTTAGCTGCGCCATCACCTGTTGGCAGCTCAGCTCGGGCCGGGCATCGAACCGCTGTTGCTCAGAGCTCTCACTCTTGAGTGAGCTCTTAACCAACTGAGCCACTCGGCCGGCCCCACAGAATAGTTTTTGATGGGAGAGTTTATTCACACATTCATCCCACAAATACATTTTGGAAAGAGAATGAGGATATGGAGAATGTGCCAAACATTAAGTTCTAAATTAAGGGAAAGTATGTAGAATGGAGAATCTGGGCTAATAATAAATAATAAGAACAAGAAGCTTTTACTATAAGTTAGTTGCTGCAATAATCAATTTAAACAGACTATTTTATTAATTTGTTTACAAATATGTTCTTAATTAGGTTGTATTATTATAATACCATTTCCAATTTAAAAAATTTGAGACCTGGAGTATCTAACTCGCCTCAGATGACATCATTAGTAAATGGTAAAGCTGGGATTTCAATCCTCGTAGCTTGAGTCTGGAGCTGGTGCTCCAAGCCACTATGAAATAGTGAAAACTTATTTTATTTGTTTCACCATCTAACCTTGGAAACCTCAGATTTGTCCAATTTCCCAGGGTTAGAGTATTGGGTGTGTGGGGGGGGTAATTGCAAAAATATTGGTCTTTAGCCACATAGAACCAAACTGAAAATAATCACAGTGCCACAATTAACTAAAATTCTGCTCTTTCAATCCAGGAGACTAGCCATGTATATTTTCTGCTTTGTGTGTGATGGTTGTTTATAGCATTCATAATTGAATTACCAATCTATTCTAATTTAAGCATGTTATTATTAATAATAACGTCATAGTCATTATTGGTCATTTACTGTATTCCAGGCATGGTACCAAGGTTTTTACATTCATTACTTCATTTTATTCTTACCCCAGCCTTTCAGGGTTTAGAGAGGAAACTGAGGCTCAGAGTTTAGTGATGTGCCGTGGCCCCACAGGCTATAGCAAGCAACATCAGGATTCAAGTGGAGTCCATCAGGTTGCAAAGCTATTACTCTAAACCATTCAGCTCTGCTTCTTTGTGTGAAAAACATCAAATGATCATAAAACATACTAATTTCAGAAAAAAATTTTTTTTTTTAAAAAGAGAGGAGCAAAAAAAATCCAGCTTGCAGATTTATGCCTGGACCCTGTACAGACTAATCCTAAATTCTTAGACCTTCTTTCTCGTGCAGTGGTAATGGCTACCATAGATTGAGGGTTTAGTGAGTGGCAGACTCCCTGCAAAGCACACCTAGGCATTATGATTACCACTGCAACTCCACAAGTTAAGATTCTGACCCTCGGTGTTATACTAATGAGCTGTATGACTTTGGGAAAATCATTTAACCTCTCTTTACAGGCGCTAAAGCCGAGGCTTTTGGTATGCTTATCTAACTCGCTCAGGAGCCCAGAGCAGCGTCAGGGCTGATGTGCTGGCTATTAGGCCCTCCGCAATAGAGAAGAGATAATTCTCTCCCAGATAATAGCCCTGGGGAACTTCTGTCACCTCCATCTGCAAAGAATGACTCCCTTATGTGTTTGCTGTTGTACCTATTAAAGTGGAAAAATAGACTCATACATCTTAGATTTTCAGCAACATAGAGAGAATCAAAATCGCAAAGAAAAAAAAGCCATTGCATCCTATTTCTGCGCATTCTTGTTCATGGACCTTTTGCTCAGCTTAGAATCATGAAACTTGAAGGCTGGTGGTGACCCTTTAAAGCTGAAAGATAGACCAGTCCATCTCATCCTCCTTTTACAGATAAGGAAACTGAGGCCCTGACATGTGCATTGATTGATTTTCCCAAAATCACACAGCTAATAGTAGCAGAGCTTTAATTAGAACGCAATTCTCAAAATGGCCAGTGTTTTCCCATTTCCTGATGAGGCCTTGGACTGTTCTATATGAGAGTAAGTGCTGCATGAGCATAAATAAATTTTGCCCTGATAATGGTTCCTGGCCTGATTAGATGAATTTAGTAATCTACACACACACACACACACACACACACAGACACACACACAGACACACACACAGACACACACACAGACACACACACACACACCCCATAGCACTATTTTAAAGATACAGTTAATAGAACTTCTAAATTATATTGCTGTAATAGCTCCTTAGGTTTTCTTAGAGTAATTATTGTCTTTGAGGATTGTATAAGTGGGACTGATTTCATATTAATTCTCTACTATAATGGCTAGAGTGAAGGCTCCATCCCACATCTTGATTTTAGGAATAGATAATAATGAATGCCAATGCATAACCCTGTAATGTACAATACCTTCATCTGTATATATCATATGTGTGTGTTTGATTTGCAGTGTGAATGATATTGTTGCTGTGGGACCTGAGCACTTTTATGCCACAAATGATCATTATTTTGTCGACCCCTACTTGAAAAGCTGGGAGTTATATTTGGGTTTAGCGTGGTCAAATGTTGTTTACTACAGTCCAAATGAAGTTCAAGTGGTGGCAGACGGATTTGATTTTGCTAATGGCATCAACGTTTCACCTGACGGCAAGTACGGAAACTTTTTAAAAATGTCATGCATTTCCCCAGGTTCTCATTAGATAGCTTTAGAACAGACTCCTTTTCTAAATAATGTGATATATTTAACATGTTATCTTAGTAAGAGGAAATTAGGAAAAATATAAAATATCTTAGTTTTTCACAGGATAAAATTAATCAGATCAAAATATTCTGTTTTGTGAAGATATAGTTTTAAATTTATTTTTTGGGGAAAAAGTACATTTCAACAGGGTGAATAAGCATTCAGCATTACTGAAAAATACTGTGATAAGCATTTAGTGTTACTGAATAGCTTTGCTTTGAGGGAAGAGTTTATTATTGTATAATGATATATATATATATATATATATATATATATATATATCACTAGTGCTAGTTTATGACAAGATAAAGGACTTGCATCAACATATAAATCAAAGCACTGCTTCCTTCATCAAAAAAGTGTTACTATGGGGAAAAAAGTCAACTTAACTAAGCAGTTAAGTGTGCCTAGTGGTGTAGTTCATTTACATTGTTATCTGATGGTGGATCTGATCAAACAATTGATAGACCAGCATTGGTCTGGTGACCAACTTTGGGTAGCATTGGTATATACATATGAAATCTACATATCTGATAATTAAGTTCATGAACTCATCCTAAAAAAAGTGCTATATACTTCATTGCTGAATATCACTACAGTCACTTTTGAAGTACTCCCCTTGGGAAGCTATGCACCAATGCCAGTGCCAAGTCCACCCTTCAGAGCAATTTTGGAACTCTTTTTCTGGAATGGCCATCAGAGCTGTCACTGTATTACCCTTGATGTCCTGAATATCATCAAAATGTCTTTCAATATTTCCTTTATCTTCGAGTAAAGAAAGAAGTCACTGGGGGCCAGGTCAGGTGAGTAGGGAGGGTGTTCCAATACAGTTATTTGTTTACTGGTTAAAAACTCCCTCACAGACATTGCCGTGTGAGCTGGTGCATTGTGATGCAAGAGGCGTGAATTGGCGAAAAGTTCAGGTCATCTAACTTTTTCACTCAGCCTTTTCAGCACTTCCAACTAGTAAAATTGGTTAACTGCTTGTCCAGTTGGTACAATTCATAATGAATAATCCCTCTGATATCAAAAAAGGTTAGCAACATCATTGCAACAAGTTCGCGAACTTAATTGTCAGACCTCATATCTCCATCCATCTATATACCATTCCTCTTCTTATATGACCACAGATTTCAAAGGGTTAGTAACGTAGTTAGAGAAGGCAACTTGGGCAGCATTCCATCATTCATATCATCCTTGGTCTTCAAAAATAGCAGTTAATCAAGCAGTCATTTCTCTTGGCCACAGATCTTTATGATGGGTGTGACATTGCTCTGTGTGCAAAATTCTAAATCCACAGGGTCAGGACCAGACTCAGGATAGAAAGAGAAGAAGACTTCTCTCAGATCCAGGCCAAGCATCTTATCTTCTCTCATACTTTCTTTGGCTTAAAACAAGGAGTTCACTGTCAAAGGGCTTTCCTGCAGCCTGCTGGAGAGAACTCAGTGTCCTCTGAAATGCAGAACCTGGGGCTTGCCACTATATTGACAAACTCAGAGAAGCACTGTAACGTGTTTTGCTCCCAGAGAATAAGAGCTGGTGTCAGGGCTAAGTTCCTTTCCTACTGATCAGGGCCAACTAGGTTCCTACCCTTAGAAATAACTCTTCAGAATTAAAACTCATTTGTGCCCTGTAAACTCATTAGTTCTTTCAGAATTTGGTGTGCTTTGAAGTGGGTTCCATTTTCCAGTCTCTAGGCAGAGTTCCTCCCTAGGAAAAGTTATCACAACTTCACCATTAACTTTTGAATCACATCATTTCAAGTGCTTTGATGTAGCTCTATCTTCTTTGAAGGTATGTCTATATAGCTGAACTTCTGACTCATAAGATTCATGTGTATGAAAAGCACCCTAATTGGACTTTAACTTTATTGAAGGTAAGATGTATTAACCCTATAAGTTTGCAGATGATAATTAGATTCTAATTGATTTGTGAAATTAAAAGTGAGGAAAAAAGGATTGTCTAATTGGAGTGGGTGAGAACCAATTTTTCATTCCTTTATTAAGAATCATCAGCATGTTATATGTTTGTTGTTCACTTTTACTCAGCTGTGGAGTGGGGAGTCTCATTTATGAAACTTTTGATTCTTTCTGCTCTAGTGAATTTTAAACCTGGCATTGTGTTCCTAGATCTACTTGTATCTTCATTCCCTCCTTCCCTCCCTCCCTCCCTTCCTTCCTTCCTTCCTTCCTTCCTTCCTTCCTTCTTTTTTTCCCTCCCTTCTTCTCTCCCTTCCTGCTCACTTCATCTCTCTCTCCCTCCCTCCTTTTCTTCTCTCTCTCCCTCCTCTTCTCTTCCCCTCCTTTCTTTCTCCTTCTTGCCTTTTCTTTTTTTCCCTCTATGTTGATGGAACAGCCAAGAAAGAGCCTCAACTAGTATTTAATACGACAGTGCTCTCCACAATACTATTTATTTGTTTGAATTTTTATAAGAGTTTATTTGGGCCAAACTGACAATATGCCAGGGAGCAGGATCTCAAATGCTCTCCACAATATTATAAAACTTAAGTACAATGGCTGTGGTGTACCCTGGCCGCCCAATCACTTTGCTGCTTTTATCTCCAACCCTTGCCCCTCTGCTCCTGGAGTTTGCCTGGCATGGCTCTGCCTCAGGATGGGGCACTGTTTCCCCAGCTCATGTGATCTCCTCCAGGTCGCCATGGCTCTCTCCTTCATATCCTTTCAGATTTCACTAAAATGTCACCTCAGGAAGGCCTCCCCTGGCTCCCTAAGCTACACTTACAACCCTGCTCCCCACCCCCACCCTGGCCTTTACTTCAGCGTTCATGACTAACCACCTATATATTTTATTTATCCTCTCTACTGTCTACCTCTCCCACTAGGCTGTAAGCTTCACAAGGACAGATTTTTTTTTTCTTTTGTTTTTCCTATTCCTGGAAGAGCTCCCAACGCCTAGTGGGCTCTCAACAAATCCTTGTTAAATGAATACGATGGGGCTGGGTGTGCTTCAGGGGTTCATCTTCTACCCTTACTAATTCCGATCTGGTCTGAAGGTTTGGGTCAAAAGAGGTAAAAACACAAAGGAGAGGAAAGAGCAAGGAAGAGCAAAGTGGAGTCTTATGAAAGTTGCCCCCATGTCCCTGAAAACCAACAGGCTGTTGCTTGCCCGCCATAACAGCCCACAGCATGAAGCCCTGTCACCAGGCGCTGTGCACACGGTTTCTGTCAGCATATCTGAGGTACTGTCATGAGGGGCTTCACTCAGAGAAAATGACCTCGAAGCAACAGCAATGGTAACATTATGTTTGACATTAAAAATCATTGGCAGAGCCAGCTTGGTATTAGCTGAAGTAAAATGGAATTTCACACACACTCACACTGGCTGAGGGAATAAAAGCAAACTGTGGTTATCACAATACATACTTCTGTAAATTGAAAGTTAAAGAATTTTGTAAGAATAGAACCCAACCCAATATGCACTCAACACACAATGGTGAAGGTGCTGCCTCTGCAAAGGCGGGACTGAGGAGGGCAAGGCTTACTCCAGGCGTGGCTCCCGAATTTGGCAACAGAATGTGCCCGTCTCCTGACGCAACAGCTCAGCTGGGACTACCCTCTGTGACTGGCATGCTATTTTTTTCTGTTTGAAGAATTATGTTAAATAAGCCAGTTAATTAATTCCAGGAGTGCCAAGAAATTTGATAAACTACCTGAGGCTGATCTTAGAATTTTCAATGAGGCGTGGATGCATGTGTGTCCTGTCAAAGTGTGGTATATACATACCATGGAATATCGTTCAGCCTCAAAATGGAGTGAAATGCTGATGCATGCTGCAACATGGATACGCCTCCTTGAAGACATTATGCTAAGTGAAATAAGGGAGACACAAAAGGAAAAATATTATAGGATTCCACTTATATGAGGTGCCTGAAGTAGGTAATTTGACAGACAGAAAGTGGAACAGAGTTTACCAGAGGCTGAGAAGGAAGCAATGGGGAGCTATTGGGTGGAGTTTCTGTTTGGGATGATGTAATGTTCTGGACATGGATAGTGGTGGTGGTTCTACGACATTATAAATGTACTTAATGCCACTGAATTGTGCAACTAAAAATGGTTAAAATGATACATTTCATGTTATGCACATTTTTCTTCCATTTAAAAAAAAACTTATTGTGGATGTTATGCATATTTTATCACAATAAAAATGTCCCCCTCTGCCCCCCCCCAAAAAAAAAATCCAAGGCAGCCACTTAAGTACATTCCAATTTTCTAAAAATTGGGATATTTGTTAACAGAGAATACTTTTTTTTTCCCCAAAGAGAATAATTTATTAAGTTTCCTTGACAAAGGAGTGTAAAATTTTCCAGGTGGCTTTGTGGAAGCATGAAACAAAGCATGCGTGTGCATTGTGGTGAGTTAGTGTTGCTAGGAATTCCAGATATACAGGAGCCCGGCATGGGTTCCCAGCTGGAATGTCAGCATTTCCTGGCAGGAGCCAGCTCTGTCCCTTCCACCATTATCTCCAGGTGCTGAGCGCCTTGCAGAGCACACGGTAGGAGCTCAGGAATTGTGGGTGAATGAATGGGACCTCAGGCTTCCGTGCCCTTCCGCCACTCCCATCCCAGCTCTCATCTCTACAGGATTTCATCTGCCATGGAATTCACCAGTTGGCTATTATCTCTTCCAAAGATTATAGCAGAGCCCGGAAACAAACATTTCCCTCACCTTAAGAAATTAACGTTTCAGGAGCGGCCAGTTAGCTCAGCTGATTAGAGTACAGCACTCACAACACCAAGGTTTGCCAGTTCGACCCCGTATGGGCTGCTGCGCTGCACCCTCCACAACTAGATTGAAACAACTACTTGACTTGGAGCTGAGAGGTCCTGGAAAAACACACTGTTCCCCAATTTTAAAAAAAAGAAAAAAGAAGTGAACTTTCAGAGTAGGAAGTCTGACATTGTGATGGACGGGGGCTTGGTGAGTGCAGAAGGCCTGGGGCGGATTTTGACCAGAGCATGCTTGCTTGGCTACCTCCTTTGGCCAACCTTGCCTGTTCCCAGGGTAAGAATGAGTGATGGCTCTGCACGAAGGTGAAAAGGAGGTTCTGCCACGATGCTCGAGCCCACTAGTCCCTTCACCGACATGTGAGGATGGTTCTCATTCTGAGCAGGAAGCACGGGGCAGCATGGGCTCCCTGATGCTGCCCTCCCATGCTCTGGCTTTTGCGAGGAGTCATTGCCGGTTATTACAGGGTCTCTGGGTGCTGAGGCGTGCTGGTCTCTGTTTGAGGTACACGGTAGATATTGCTTCTCCAACTGAGAGTGAGCAGTAAACAAACAGGTGTGATTTCTCCCTGGTAGAAGGCAACCAAGATGATGAATGGTGGAATTAAGAATCAGTATTATTTATGACCCTGGTACAAAACTTTGACAGCAATCTGTGCAGTCATCACATGCTTGCAACTTATATTTAGAAAATAAACAGCAGAAGAGCAGGGAGTTGAATAACATCAGGAAACTAAAGAAGAAATGTCTTCCCAATTCCAAGGCAAAAATTAGGCCCCAGGTGACCATTTGTGCTCTGGCCACATAGCCTATGACTAATCACTAAAGAAGAGCCTACACATTTCACTGATGTTCTCATCAGGAAGGAATCTACATTTATTGGCTGTTTTCTGAATGCTTCCTTATAAAACTATCATTTGCACGTGCTGTTTTAGAAATGAAACATTTAGAAATGTTTATGCTGCACTTAAATTTTTTTTTTCCAGTTTTAGGTTCATGCACAGATGTTAGTCCAAATGATTTCATCTAACTTTTTATAGTCTGTTTTGGCTTTCTGTATCTTCCCTCTCCCTCATCTGTCCTGGAAACTGATAAAATACTAGCCTGGTGGAAGGCTAGAGGAATTCCCTGAGTGCTATTAAAATGGGCAGAACTGTTGTGTCCCTAGAACCAGCAGAGTGGTAACCAAGGATAGGACAATGGTGTTCCCTGACATATTGCTCGGTCATCTCTCAAATGTTTCTTCACTTTCTGTTTTTCTTTCTTGTTTTTAATTGGGAAGTCCCTAGCCGTGAATACACTCGTGGATAACATATCTGTGGATCCTGTAACAGGGGATCTTTGGGTTGGATGCCATCCCGATGGCATGAAAATCTTCCACAACTTGAAGAGTGCTCCCAGATCAGAGGTTAGTTTGAAAAATGAGTTTTAATCAGATCAGTGACCTGATTGCCAGATGTGTTTCAGTTAAAAACTTAATTCTTAATTATATGGACAAATAAAAGGGGGGACGTGGATAGATGACCCACATGATCAGATGTAAAAAGGAATTTGACTTTGGGAGGCTTTTTAGTCAGAGTCTAGGGAGGAGACAGATGATATGTTTAAACTGGGAACTTTGCGGGGATTTAATAAGGACACTATGTACAAAGGTGGGGGCAGAGTGTAGGGAAGTCAATAGGAGTTAATGCAGCACCCCAGGGTTAGCAAGGGGGCAGGAAGTGGTTACCAGAGCCAGAACAAGGAGAGAGCTGCATGTAGAGAAGGTCTAGTAAGAACCCGGCCTCTGGTTGAGGGATGTAGCCCCGCAGCAAGGACCCATGGAGAGGACGATTGGAGAATAAGAAACCGACCTCCCCCTCAGACCTCCCACCCCTTGCTGATGCTGTTTCTTAGTCACCCTAATTGGGAGCTGGGGGGTGAGGGAGCTCTCATAGTGGGCTTTAGCACACATGTAAGCAGAGCAGAGCGTGGACCTGGAGGGCTGGGTGAGTGCGTTAGATAATGGACTGTTATCCTTTTTTTCTATTCTTTACCAGGTCCATCGTTAGAAAGAAAGAGTTTTTTTTTCCAGAAGAGCAAACCAAGTCCATGCTATAGCAAATGACCCAAGCTCACCAAATGAGCTAACAACAATCAAGAACAAATTAGAATCTAACATTCTGCTGAGTTCCAGTGAACACACCATAGCCTACATGTTTTCAGTCTATTAAACATGGCTAAGAACTAGCAAAAGGCACAAAGGATTGCCATTAAAGACAATTACAATTGTCCTGCAAACCTAAAAATAAAAAGCTTCAAAGACCATGATGTAATTGGAAATATATATTTGGTTTTTGTTTTGTTTTTTAGGGTTAGGTCCATAGCTTTATTTCAATAGTGAGTTTCTCCAACTTGGGCATTCATAATAATTAAAAAAATATAATGTATATTGCACTGCTATGGTCTCGTCATTTGTTTGTTACCTGCCTTGGTATTCAAGTTCCCCTTCCTGTGGGTTAGTATATGCGTAAGTTAACAGTGGATCCGACCTAAAGCACGAATGGCCACCCTCTAATCTTCCGTGCAGAACAGGAGGATAAATCACTTGCTGGAGTTACTTTGGATTAAAAGACCTTCTCTTCCATCTCGGTAGAATACTCAGTGACCCTCTTGGTGTCCATGGTCCTTATGCATTGGATTATTTTGGCAGTGCAAATACAAATTTAAAACTCACCTTGCCACAGGCATGTGCAAGTCTACTATGACTTACCTGGGGTTTTCTACCGTGAGTTTTCAGGATGTATTAATTATACATGCTTGTTAGTTACATCAAGTATATGATATTTTGACATAGTCCACTGCTATGTATTCCTTTGAAAGCTTGGTTTTTAGAGTCAGTCTCAGACACCCTGCCCCATCCAACAGAAAAAATATGTTCTATAGCCTGTGTGTCTTGGATTTTAAAAAGGAAAACCAAATGTGTATTTCTAATTACATTATGGCCTTCCCTGCCTTTTATTTTTTGGTTTACAGGGCAATTGTAATCGTCTTCAATGGCAATGCTTTGTGCCTTTTGCTAGTTCTTAGCCATGTTTAATAGACTGAAGACATGTAGGCTATGGTGTGTGCACTGTTTGGAACTCAGCAGAGTGTTAGATTCTAATTCATTCTTGCTTGTTAGCTCATTTGGTGAACTTGGGTCATTTGCTATAGCATGGACTTGGTTTGCTGTTCTGGAAAAAGAAAAAACTTTCCAATGATGGATCTGGTAAAGATAGCAAAAAGTAATAACAGTCCATTATCTAATGCACTGCCTCGTAGAAGAGTGATTTTGTTGTATTAAAAGAGGCTCATTTACTTAAGCCAAGGTTCACTATTAACTAGTTCCCAGTAAATAACTGCTACACTTTAATGCTATAGCAATTTTCCAAAACATCCATCTTTGGTGCCAGTTGTTTTAAAAAGGTCCTTTTAAATGCTCGCACTAACCCTTTAATATCCAGACACTGGCCTTCCTAGTCTGCCATATTTGGTGTTTTTGTATATAGGTATCCTTTCAAGTCATTGTATTTTATATCCTAAAAGCTTAAGAATAGAAAGTTACAGTTAAGAGGGAACTTAATCTAGTCCCACTCATCTGATTCTACAGATGAGAAACAAATGGTGAGTAGAGGATCCAAACCATGACCCTGGGCTCCAGACTTATAGAGTGCTCTTTATTGTAGGATACATCGTCTGAAATTACTATTTTATCAGCCAAATTAGTCAAATATTGGCTATTACATGTAGTCAGCCTAACATACTACTACACTCTTACTAATGATACAATCATTCCGCTCAACTAAATGAAAGAAACTGAACTTATGAAATCTTACGCATTTAGAGTTGGCACCATAAGTTCAGAAGAATGGATGAGTGTGGTATGGAGATATGTTCTTTTTTGGGCCATACTTTTTTTTGATTGCTATCATTTAAAAAACAAGAATTAAGTGTAAACATCCAAATTCTTAGTTTATCTGAAAATACACAAAAACTATCCTGAATTTCAGCATGACAATAATTTGACTATTGCTGAGTAACAGCCACCCTCCCGCTCACCATAGTCCCTACTATTGCCTAATGTCTCACACCCAGGCTGTGTTACTCATATTTCTTGCCTCACTTCCGTAGGCCTATGTATCTCCACTGCTGTTTAAATCACCTGATCAAAACCTGTCATTTTGCCAATGAGGAAACAAGTGTCTTAGATAGTCATTTTAGAACAAAATATGATTTACCTAAAGGCCTCTTCTTATGGAGAAATGACCCCAGGTTTAAAGTTGTTCGAAGTGGCTTAAAAAAAATTAACCTAATGTTATTTCTTTGATAGGTGATCCAAATACAGAACATTTTAACAGAAGAACCCAAAGTCACACAGGTTTATGCAGAAAATGGTACAGTGTTGCAAGGCAGTACAGTTGCCGCTGTGTACAAAGGGAAAATGCTGATTGGCACGGTGTACCAAAAAGCGCTTTGCTGTGAGCTCTGACAGGCCGGTTTGCACCCATGCCATGGTGACCTCAACATTTCAGCTGCTTGCCACATTGAAGGGGTCCTAGTAATCTCATCTGAACAATGAATACTCACCTTGAATTAGGACCTCATAAGGAATGAACATGATGTTTAACTGGGAACAAATATGACATATATAAGTCTTTTTTGAGAGCATATCAAATCAATCTTGGAATACTTGAAAATCTCATGGCCCAATAAAAACGCTTTTCAATGAAATGGCTAAAATGGTCATGTCCATTGTCAGGTATCAAATAATGTTAACTGCATGTGACCCACAAGGTACCTTCCCTAAGACACGATGAGTTCCCTGAGTGCATGTTATTGCTGCCTTGCTGTCTTGTTCAGAAACCAGGAGAGCAGGATGGCCTCACCCGTCACCAGAACACCAGCAGTCACTCAGGCACTCGAGTTCTCATGCCAGAAAATGCGATGTGCACTCAAGCTACCCCTCAACTCCACGCATGTCTCCTTAAGCAAAGCCATTCCATACACTGCACAGTCAGCCTTATTTACGTTTCCCCTTATGTACTGACTTGGTCAGTAAATATAAACTTAAATACCACAATTCTCCTTTTACTCTTATGTGATTCTCCTCTAGCAAATAGCATGCAAAAAAAAATCTTAAAATTCTTGGGAGTGTTGTCACACCTGAAAATTATGAATGTCTGTTATCTCAGCACACTTTGTACATTTTCGTTTCTTTGACTTGGTAAAATGAAGAAGTTGGTTAACATCAATGACTGGATACAGACTAAAGCCCAACACAAATTCAGGGAAAGCTAAGTGCCCCCAAAGACAATATTGCTGAGCTGGCGGTGGTGGAGGTACTTTTTCTATTCTAACTTGCTGTGGAGGCTAAGAAGAAAACAAGAGCAAAGTAAACAAACAAAAACCAGAAATGGTTACCAATCTTTGGCTCTCTTCTGAGGGATGGGACTCAGAAGAAAAGATGACTTTATCATTTTCTTATAAAAGCCATATGAAAAGTTTACCTATCTTCATTTATTTGTGTGTCTGCTCTGAAGGTATGGCTTCCCAGCTGGCTTATCTCTTTGGGATGTTCAGGCAGTCACATTAGAAACAAAGTTTTTCTAAGGTGCTTACCATGACGATGGTCTGGCATTTGGGGAAAAATGTTTTGCTGCTAATTTGAAAATTGCTGATTTTAAGACCACTGAGTTAAAGTAATAAACAGGAACATTTTGTCTGGATGGAAAAACACTTTCCTCACATCAGAATAAGAGTTATTTTTTAGTAACGATTTCAGGGGGCATGATGTATTATTGTGCCCTATGAATTCTCAATTACTTAGTGATGCTGTTCACAGCTCTTGAAGTTGGATTCTCTGAAATACTGTTTTGAAACTATCAATGGCTGTGGTGCTTAGGTTGAAAAAACCCACAAAATACCCACACATTTCCTTTAAAAAGAAATCACTTGATATATCAATAAAATGACCATACTGTTCTATTGTTCTTGAAATAAGCAAACTCTGCACACCATCCCCCCAGAGACATAGCTTACACTCAAAATCATTCAAAGGGACACATGCTTCTTCTTGGTCAGGAATTTCTTAACATACTCCAAGGAAGATTAAACAGCTTAATTCATTTATTCTGTGATGCTCAGAGCTAAATTTTATGCATTGCGAAAGGTTTAGTCACAGATAAATTATGGCGCGTGTGTGTGTGTGTGTGGGGGGGTGTGTCTGAGAGAGAGAGAGAGAGAGAGAGAGAGAGAGAGAGAGAGAGAGAGAGAGAGAGAGAGAGGGAGAGGGAGGGATTAACATCCCTCATTTGTTATATTCAGTCTTCTGAACATTTAAGGTTTTAGAAATAAAATTGTTGAAAGGAACCCCATACTATGGGATGGCCTGACTCTTAGCTTGTCCCATGCTGTGTGAGGCCCACTGCCAAATGGATTTGTCACAGACCTCGGGAAGAGGCTGATAGGTATCAGACACTGTGATGACGCTGTGATGGGAACAGAAAGACGGGTGAGAGAGCTTCTGGTGGAAGCTTGGGTCTTTTAACTTTATGCCCAGTTCCATAATTGTGCTTTCAAATGTAATTCTAGCTGCCAATTTACACTTTACCAGGGCTAAAACTTATTTTTAGTTTCATTTCCATGGAAAATGTGCACTTTGCTCTTGATTGATAGATATATTTTGACAGTTAATACAGGTTTATCCAGTCAAGGCTTGTTTTAGTTGAAGGTGAAAATGGAAGAGGAAAAAAAATTACTCCAACAGATTTTAGTATTTCTCTTTTTATTGCATTCGTTGTCTAACAACAATAATACTCATTGGCAAGAAATTTATTTACACTAACAAATTAAATTTAATCACAGGTTATTTTTAGATTGGTCAGAAAACAAAGAATATTTTGCTTTGAATGCCTCTGAAAACCAAAGAGTAAGAAATGTCATTTGAGATGGAACAATCTAGAGAAATACATATTAACCAAGCACAAGAGAACAATTCAGACGTGGCACTATTGTCTCTTCCATGCAAAGGATCAGACACCAAAATGTACAAATCAAAAGTTTCAGGTAACATGCTATCCATATCTATTGGACTTAAAATTATTTTCAAACAACTTTTTTCCTTTATATAAAGAAAGAAGAAAATAAATCAACTTCTTACAATGGAACAGAATTCATTCTCTCTTTTTTTTCATTTTCCAGCTGGTCAGTTTTTGTTAGTGATGTGTAGCAGGTGTACCAGTGGGTTAATTGCGACACCATTAAAAAATACAAAAGCAGTAGTGATGACCATAAATAATATTAAGGAAAATACATACATAAATATTTAAGGGATTTCACTAAGCACTAACTAAATCTGATGTTGTTGGGAGGTGTCATCTAGCTGGACAGTCTCTTAATTCCCACCTTTTAAGGTAATTTAGCTATTGTTGGCCAATTGTTCTTTCATGGATGAAAGATTAAATCCTTAACAGAAAATGACATGGGTGTGTGCATAAAATAGCTGAGAGAAATAGAAGTGTACACCTTCCAACAACATATTCCCACTCATATCCACTTGGGTCATATTTGGCAATGACCTTACCATTCCATCACTATGCAAAAGGAGAAAATAAATGGTCATGTGATGGCTAGCTGCCATCAGAGAGCCAGTAGTTAGTGACTTATGCATCACAACTACCAAATATGTCATATTAGAGCATGAGCGAATACACAACAACACACAGTGCAATGTTTAGCCAAGGAAACTGCAGTCTGCAGTTCGAAATGTCCAAAGCTGCATAAATATCTGAGTTACAACTCAGCAATGTGCAATTTTGACATCAAAGCATTAACCAAACATTTGAGGAAATTTTATCTTACTAAAATACCAAGTTTCTAATAAATCAATTTTACCAAAATATATAAACATGTAGAAGGATAAGTGCATTTAGTAGAAGAAATACATTAAAAAAAATCTCTCCAAATCTTATGAGCCATTCAATGTCTACACAACACAAAATGTGGCGAGAAGGCTATGATTACTGCTTCGGTCCTGACATTACCAAGTTCCACATACGATATCTACTTCTTTATGCCATGTCATTGCGGTGTGTGTGTGTGCACGTAAGGTGGGAGATATAGTCACACACAGGTGTTCTGTATATCTACACAAGTGGCATGCACAGTATTGAGAAGTTGCCTCTTATTCTCTTATTTCCTTACCTCTCATTCATTCTCGAATCCCTAGCAGTTTGGGGGTTGGGATTAGGGTAGGGCCAAGGATTGGACATCATGTTTCCTTCCTTCCTTACTCTGTAGATCTGGAAGCAGGTCACGTGCTGTGCTCGCTCCACACACTTACACACGTCAGCCTTCAAGTAACCACCATGCCTTCCACACATCCACATGGACACCCATGCTTTCATTTTCCAGGGGGGACTGATTCTGTAGGCTTTCTCTGTGTCCTCTGACCTCTTCATTGGGTCCATTCTATCCTGCTACTGTAAGTTCCTCAAATACTACCTGTGTAGCATATGGTGGTATTTTGTCTCCCCAGTGTTTGGACCAAGACTAAATTTCCTGAGATTTTAAATACCTAAGACAAATATAAATAAAATCTTCCTGCAGACCCAGGCTGTTTTCCAGGAGTGAATCGCTGTAGCACACTGATTTCTTACAACACTGCTTTCTTTAGAAATTGACTTCCCATCTCATCATCATAATGCAAACAATTCTAGTTGGAAATATGAACATTTTAATTCTGGACTTCATCCTTCAATGCTCAGCTTCAGAGCAGTGTACAGGTAGATCCTTCAGTAAAGATAAATTTGAAAAGATATTTAAAAAGACCTGGTCTTTTCTTTTCCATTTTACCTTTTCATTCAGAAAGCACTAAGGACTAAGCATTAAGTAGGTGACATAAACCGTAGGGACCGCTGTCCACCAAAGTGCAATGCCCTTCATCTGCAGCTCTACTGGGACAGTAAATTTAGTCACTCAAATGGAACTTGGTAATTCTTAAATATCTCAGTGCAATGAGGGGGCTACAACACATCCAAAGTGTAGACATTTCTTTTAGAATTGTTGGGACACCTCCCTTTAGAATCTTCTGGAATACTATTGGTAAACACTGGGTTTCCTCTCTTGAGGCTTGGCCTATGTAACCTTTAACACTTACAAATGAGTCAGAATATCTATATAAATACAGATTTTTCATTTACCTTTTAAAATGTAATTGTAAAGCATATGTTAATCCAGATACACAAGAAACCTAGATAAGAATTCTTTGTCTTCAGCACAAACCATAAAGGCTAAGTAAGGTGCTAGACCAAACAACCCCGGACTATTTTTGTAGCCTGGCCTGGGATATCTTAAGATTTCAGGGTGGAGATGACTGCAGGGCAAAAGGCAGTGGCAAGGGTTAATTTGGTTCCTCACTCATCCTCTTGTCATTGTTCCAAACAACATCAAAGGAGCAACAGGTAGTGTTCCCACTGCATGCCCCTTAAAAGCTGAGTTTGGCATCAGCACCTATCATGCTGCAATTGTGAACTGCTGTGGGTTAAAACGCTTACATGATGTTGAGGGTGTGAAACCCATGTCAACCCCAGCTAAAGGAGGGCGGTATAGAAAAGCTTTATTGTCATGAAACTTAAGGTAGACTTCATCAGTGTGTTAGAATGGGCAAAATTAGGTTTCTGCTTCAACGTATCACTCTGAAGTGACTTCTAATTCAAGCAAAAACAAAAACAAAAAATATTAGAAAACTATTACATAAACGGTGAGTTCTTTTACAGAAGATAGTCTTCACGAGCGTAATTCTGTGATAGAACTAAAGTCCTTTCATGGAAAGCCCTGCCCCAGATATTTGCTCACACACCGCTCTCTGTCTGCAGCTGGGCCTCACCACACACATCCCCTGCCCCCAAAGCATTACCTAAACCCCAAACACTTTTGGTGATTGTTAAGAGTCACACAGAGCTGTCGTTTTTAGGGAATATAGTTCATACTAACTAGATATTCCCTTTTTGTTCCTTTTTTGATGACTAAAAAAAACCTACAAAGTCTTTAAGGTTCACGAAGCAACAATCGTGTTAAGTTGCATGGACACTGAAAACCATGGGCATTGAAGGAGGAACTGTGTGCGACACTGGGTCCTCGGTTAGGCATCATGCACTAGAGTTGGCTAAAAAAATAACAGGAAGCAAAGTGCTCACAAGATCCGAAGTCCTTCACTTCATTTTCATACCCTTTGACCAGTCTACCTTGTATCCTTTGTCGGACAATCAAATCAAGTGCCTCTTATAATTTCAGCAGTTTTAAGTAGTAGTATTAAAAATAACTCACTAACATCTAAAATTACTATATTTAACTTAAAAAAATCAAATTGTCATAATACAAACTAAATGATTCGAGGAATCACAATTTGATTACTAATTATTGTCAGTCAGTCATCGACCTAAACATTGGAAGCATACAAATAAATTTAAAACAAAGGACAATACTTCTAAGACATTTAAGAAAATGCAATATAATAGATCATAAATTATGTGCAGAGACACAGACTTACAGACATTCCCAGTATAGTATATACATCCATTTTCAAATATTACCGAAGTGTAAACATAACTTAAGATAATCATCCTTCTATTTCCACTCTTAAAATGAATACAGTGAAACTTCCAGTGTGATCCAGGTCACCTTTTTTCAAAGATAAGTAAAAATTTACAATAAGCTAGCACTAGTATTACCAGATTTTAACTAATTTAGTCTTTCGCATTAGAAAAGATTTGCTGGATTTTGTAGTTCATTAATAGTGGTTCCTTGTTTCTCATGATATTAATAATTAGCAAAGCACCACACATTTCAAAATATTAATAGAGTTTCCAGTATGGCAGTTTCATTATCATACCCCAAATGAAGATAAGACAGGGAAACATACATAGTGACTTTGATAACTGTAAAGCACAATGTTACTTTCGGATGGCGTTTCTGAGGATTGGTGACAAAAGAACCGAAGCTTAACAGACAATACTCTGTCACTGAAAAGGAAACAGGCCTTAGGGAAAGAACAGAATCATAAATATCTAGTTTGGACAATTCCAGATTTTGGATATTCAGACAAGCAAAAATATTAAAATCACAATGCTCTCAAGAGAGATAAAGCTATACGGACAGGAGCCCCTTTACATTGTGTGTTACCTCCAAATGCCTCCCCACCAAGCTCTGCGTATATAATATTTCCAGTGGAAGAGAGGGACCCAGACACACCCCATGTAGTAAAGGAAGTAAAATACTTGTCCAAGAATTTGTCTGACCTCAACTTTTATTGTAAACCTCGTCCCTTGGAAAGTGGGTGACCTCATTTTTAGAGCTAACGCAGCAAAGAGAACCAGATACATGAGCATAAAAAGCAAAACAACAACAAAGAAAACAACCCATCAATTGAAATTTCTCAAGATGAGTTCATTTTCTCCTCCTCAGCCCCAGTCTCCTGCACTTGGATTAGTTTGATGAAATACTGAAATCCTTTAATACTGGCTTTCAAATATGCGTAACTGCCTCCACTGAAGACTGTATCCTACGCTTTCTTAAACTTTAAGTGTAAAGTGGAAATCTCTAAAGAATGGAAGAGAATGGCTCAGAAAAACCATTCAAAGCATCTCTAAAATGTAACTGACAGCTCACCTTTATGGGAACATTCTGTGTGCTCAATAAAATTGCTTCTCTGGTTGAATGTTACTCAAATTTAAATTTTTTCGAACTGGTATTTCTGTTTTTCTTAAAAGTACATTTGTTGAAACACTAACTGAGCCCACTTGGGAAATCTTGAGTAGAAAATATGCGACAAGTTCCTGACTGTGTCACAGTCGGGCTGAAGACTAGCCGGAATGTTCCCCAGGAGAGGAAACCTGAAAATGTTGGCTTCCTCAAAAATCAATTTCCTGTTCAATTTGTTGGGGTAAAAAGGAATTGCGTTGTGTGTGCCAAGGTTGCTGAAAATACTGAACACGCAGCGGTAGCAAAGTAAACAACAGATCCCACTGTCCCATGGCTGCATTAACATCTGAGTTTTTTCTTTGTTTGGCTAAATCTGGAGGAAATGTTACCCTCAGAACCCCAAGGTAATACCCACATCCACATTCTTAAGGCTTTTGCTTCCTTCTGGGGTTAACAAATAACGATAATTCTTTTCTCTCTTTCAGGCGCCCAGCAAGCAGAGCAATGGGCGTGCCTGTCGCCACGGTAGGTGGTTATGTGGCAGAGAGCCCATGTTTCCACCGTGGGGCTGTCTCATGGTCCAGGCACAGAAATGAGGGGGGACTTTTCCCACAGGCTGGCATAGGTGCTGCAGCCCAGACCCCACGGCAGAGTGGTGCTCTCGGCCATGAAGCTACAAGCCACTGACCAGTGTCAGGCTCCCCTACTGGACATTCATGGCCCTCCATTACCACCAGGGTATGTCATGCGCTTGTCAGGCAGGGTCACGCTGCTTCTCTCAGTGACACAACCCACCCAGCACAACACAAGCTGTTGCTAAGTAAGAGAAGAGAGAAACACAGCGACTTGGCATCGCTCACAAATGAGCTCCTTGGTTTGTTTAAGAAACTAAAGGTGGCTTGGGATTATTTCAGCAGGTTAAAATTAAGAGTGTATTCTATTATTGCAGAAAACGCACTTATTCAACACACAGTTCCCCAATCTGCCTAGAGCACATTACCCCTGTCATCAGTGTCTTCATCCTCCAGAGGAGAGCGGGGCAAGGAGAGGTGGCGATGTCTCTTGGTGCACCCCCACCCTCCGGGAGAGGGAGTGTGCTATGGCTCGCCGGCACCCTCTGTCATCTTTTCCGTCTTTTTACACTTCCTTTGCATTTGTTCTTGTTCCTTCCTCCGTAGCTTTTCTCTTTGTTTTTCCATTTTCTCCTGAGCCTTCCGAGCCTTCTCTAGAGACGCCTTCATTTCCTTGAGTTTTTTTTTGACGACTGCTCGGTCCTGGGATGAAGCCATTCCAAGAGCCTAAGAAGGGAACATAAACTGAATTTGAAAACCAATGGCCTCTCTGCTTATGATGAGGTTGGCGTCACAATATGTTCAAACTCAAAAACTAATTTAATCCTGTCATCTGCCGATGGGCATTTCAGTTGTTTCCAAGTCTTGGCTACTGTGAATAGCGTAGTGGATATATACGATGTCAGAGGGGCAACAGATCGGGGGAGAGGGGTTATCACTTTGTGAGGGGTGAAATGTCTAACTATGACATTGTTTTGTACACCTGAAACAAATAAAAAAATTAAAATTAAAAATTAAAAAAAACTAAACATAACTGAAGTAAAAACTGAGGAAGAGCTGATTATATCTGCCAGCAATCTACCGACTGGGGGAACTACGCTTTATTTGTTCTTTTGTTCTGTGACATCCCCAGCACAGTACACCCTGAAGCTCGTTTAGGAAATGCCTCCCAAATTGGTAATTGATGGATGAATGAATGAAAAGAAGGGCACAATTCCGCTTCTCCAACCTTTAGGCTGTAGACATTTACAGGGCAAAAGTATTGCTAAACTCATCAATATTTTCAAAAGATAGGCATGGAGGACCCCTGCTGCCTCTAAGAAGGGCAAGAAGCAACGGCATGGCTTCCTTGCTGCCAATGCATGCATTTAGAAAATGAGGACCAGAAACGTCTCTGGGACCAGGATGCTCATGGCAGCACGGCCAGCCACTCTCTCCCTTAGGCAGACCTATACAAGAAGCTTGATTATAATGAGGTTGCTCAATGGGCTTGGGATGCAAAACAAGGGGAGTTGGTACTTCACATGTTTCATGACCTTCAGAATCAACAGCGGGATGCATCCATCTCCCCAACAGGGACGGCTTTGTCAATGGGGCCTTCATATTCACAGGCTATTGACTGATCTCTAACCTTTTCAAGACTTGTCAAGACCTTCGCATCTGCCCGTCAGCCCAGCAGGGGGCTGAAGTTGGGGGTGGGGAGCTGGCTGTAAGCTCCTTTTGCCCTCCTTCCACAGGGATGGGTGCCACCTCAGTTTCTAAAACAGATGGACTGGATGGATGAAAATGAGAGTGTGATGAAGTGGGAGGCAGGCATGGCCTGCACATATTTGGGGGAAGAAAGTTCTGGGGAAAACATCATTCCAGTTTTGGAGAGGTATGCAGGGAAGAGTGGGAATGGAGGAGAAATGACTAAAGAAGATACATGGGATTTGGGTTTTAACTCTAATGTAATTGAAGAGTCCACACTGGCTACTATTAAAACTCATAGTACACAGGAATTAAGTTGAGTTAATACATGGACCATGTGTGAGCCTCTAGTTCTCCTACCCAGGAGAGCTATTTAAACCCCTAATGACTTTCCAAAACTTCACTGGGAAATAACTCAACGTCCTTTTTGCTAATCATGGATGAGAATTACTTCTCAGATATGCAGAAAGCTCTGATCTGATGAAAACATGGTTGGTGTTACAAGCAATACAAATTATACCTGAAAACCTAACACAGACATAGGATTCTTTACCTTGAGTTTATTTCCATCCAGCTGCAGAAGTTGCTCTCCAGTGATGTTTTGGGCACTGAATTCAGGTACATACTGCTCCAGATTCAGGCTCATCAGCCAGTGAGAGACCTGTTGCACACTCCACTCGGGAACCGCCCGATTCTGACACTGGCTGTGTTTGGGGGACTGTCCGTCATCAAGGATCTGAGGTGGGAATGTTACGCAGTGTTGTTAAAGGACTGAAAAGCAATGGCTCAGCATGGCATATTACAGTGTCAAAAGGAATTTCTTGCCTACTAGAGCCATATTTATTAACGAAACTAATGGTTGTAGTGTGTGTAACACACATACGCAGTTAATATCTACATGTTTTTAGGTACTCAGAAATTTAAAAATCCCCCCCAAAAAACAGCATTATTAATGTAGGTAGCTTGATTTTGAAAAATACACTCTAATATTGCAAGCTTTTACATTAAAACACTTTGGAGAGATTATCAGATGCAGCAGACAAATGTTTCATTCATCTCTATATGCAATGCATCACTCTGCATTTATCCTCTGATAAGACATTGGAGATATGTAAAAACACATTTAAAAATATTGAGATAGCTTTCATTTAGAAGAGAGTATTAAGCCCTCAGGCATTCTTAGGGGAAATTTCACAGCCATTATTTCATTTGTGCAGCAAGCAAGCCTATGAGGACTGTACAGGGAGTATCCACAATTACTTTTAATAAATGAGGAAACAGAGGCTCAGAAAGTCTACAAATCTGTGCAATGCAGAGTATTACTTTTCACAGTGCACAGGGCAGGCTGGTTCCTAGAACCGCTAAGGTAAGAGGAGATGAAGGCAATGACAGATAGTTCTGGGAGGAGAGGCAGAAGCCACCTCAGTGACCCGCTGGGGAACACTCAGAGGGGATGGGAAAGCTGAGATGAAGACGAAGGAGGTGGAACGCAGTGGACCATGTCACGTAATGGTGATGGGGGATGCACTGCGGGACTCTGCGGGATTCAGGCGGAATCTGGAGATCCTCTGGACCCGGGAATATCTTTTAAACTGAATGACATACAGACAAGGGCAGAGTGTGAAACTACTTAACACAAGGACCTCCTCCACTACCGAGGAAAGTGTTCTTGTATTGTTTGATTTTTAAATCATCTACCAAGAGAGAAAAGGTTCAAACAATATCAAATAAGCCACCACGCACAGCCCACTGATAGCTCACCTCGTCATCTATCATATCCAGGCTCTGAGTGAGGGAGCAACAAAGGAATCAAAAAGAAAAGTGTTATAGAAACAGGAGACACAACATCTACGGTACAAAGTTTGAATAAAATTAAAATCGTGCCAAGCCTGAAGATATGGGCAGAAACATTTAAGAGAAAAAAAAAAGAAGTTTACAAAGGAAAAATCATGTTAGAAAGAAATAACTAAGAACGAATATTTGGAGCAAAAAAATATCTTTACTTACAGTGCCCCCCCCCTCCCACCCACCCCAAATGCTAGCATTTCTTTCCTCTACTTATCTCTTGGGGCACTAAGTTAATTACTAATGTAATTTCCTGCCTCTCTTGTGCACATTTATCTCCTGGGAACTCTTAGCAATGCTATTTTGGCCCTGGCTTCTAAATTAGTGATTCTTACCCAGTTATCCTTCCTTATTGGAACCCTACCTCTCCCCTCTCCTCCACTGTGATTCTCAACCAGGGGCCTCACTCAACTCAGAGGGAATATTAGAATCTTAGGGTAGGGGTGAGGGTGGGGAAGGTGAGGGAGGAAGGGAACGGGGTCTGGAAACTCTATGTCATTTCTCAGCTGTCTTCTATGTTTGCTCTCCAGTCCCCAGCCTCCCACCCCCATAGCTCTGTTGAGAGTCACCTCGTTTAAATCAGATAAAGTCCAAGTATATAGTAAGAGAGGTCCCTTGACATTTTAAAGGGGCTCAGAAATAACACTTTGCTTTCATGTTGTGACAGAGAAGGAGAGAAATCACGATGATTTAATATCAAATATAAAACTGTGGTCCCGAAGATCTCCATGCAAAATCTACCTTAAAAACACTTTCCAGCTGCTAGTTCACGGGTAACATGGATGTTTGAGAAAGAGGTTCTATGGTAAAGTGCCACGAGCATACCTCATCAGATGACAGCGCCAAGGACTGAGAGAGCCCTGGTGTTTTGGGTTCTGCTCCTAGGCCGCTCAAGTCTGCCGAACTGGTACTACTGGGACTGAAGTCATCATTGAAGGTAAAATTCTGTAACAATAAACAAAGCTCAGTGTTAAATGAGCACCATGAATGAACCATCGGTAGGTGTGTTTGCAAGTTCTAACAAGGTTATTTTTAAGCAATCTTAGAAAAAAATTATTTTTGGCTTGGTGATGACCTTCAGTCAGGCAGTGGTTGAGAACACTGCACCTTTTGTGGTTAATATGGAATTCTGGGTGCTTTCTCCACCGGATGAATGGGTAGGTGCTTTGGAGAAATGATTCTTCAGTCTCTCTTCAAGGGTACCGCATGCATTATCCTCTCCAACTGCTCAGAGGGGTGATATTAATGAATCTATTGTCTTTGACCCTAATCGTGATGAGTTAACAGTGTTAAGTAAAAATACAAGATGGTGTGGAGAGCCTGAGCTATTAGGAACAGATGGCATCCATATGAGAAAGGTAGCTCGCGCACCCCCTGGGAAGCATCGCTTGCTGTTGGCTGCGATAAATACTGTGAGAAATGGCAGATCCTCTCCGGGATGTAACCTTCAAGATGATGAATTCTGAGGGAGGTCACGGCCTGACACTACACTAGTTGTTATATGTTCAAGTACAACTCTCACGTGGTACCAGCCAAGTACCAAAGAGGCTGCTGCACAAACAGGTACACACTCACAAATAATCACTTGGGGATAGGGCAGGTGGGGGGAATTAATAAAACTTCCCCAGAACTTCATTAAAATGGTCAGTGGATAGTAAAGTCAAAAAAATTCACAATGACTACATGGCTGCATTCATGAAAACATTTTAAGCCAAATCTGGAGACCCCCCCCCCAGCATAATATAATGGTACAGTTATTTGAATAACACTGAGATATATCAGATCCAATACTGGAAACGTTTCCAGGCCAAAGTGGTCTATGGCTGTCAAAACTCCTTTTCTAATTCCAGAATGACTGGCTTCCCAGGGGCTCTAAGCATGTGACCAACACCATCTTGTTTCATATTCTACTTCCTTGGAAATGGGACTGTTAGTTTCCCATTAGGTTCCCTTGTATTGGGTTTAGTTGGTTGTTAAGAATAAATACCATGCCAGAGGCTGGAGAGTTCAGCACCAAACAAACTCCAAGGTTTGCTAAATCTTCAGAAAAAGAGACTCAATCAGAACACACACAGTTAGGCTAGTAGAACATTTAAGCTGGAGGGCATTTAACATAGCGCATTACCATTTGATACTGTCAGTGGAGGTATAGCCCCCAACCCTGTCAAAACCCTGTGAGCTGTTGTTTACATTAAAAAAGGAACTAAATTTGAGTAATATTAATCAGACGTTTCTGTTTGAAAAAGAAAAGTGAACACAGATAAAAGGAGACCAAACAACATGTGAAAGTTAGCCACCGTACGTGTTTCAATAAAATGTTAGAGAAGGTTTGCAGCGTCATGCTGGAAACAACCATCATGCATTTAAAACCAAGAAGCATCCATGCACATGATTCCTAATTCCACTAAAGTTAAAGAACCTTCAGGGTAGAGTTACAACAGCAGTTGTTCGACATGGAGGTTTGATTTAAAAGAAGAAATAAGTAAGGGTGCTATGTCAGCAATGGTTTGTTTTAAAGAGTTTCATTTAGATGTACTGAACACATATTCAGTCCCAAATTTATTTGTTTTCCAGTAAATCGTGAAAAGCGCAGTGAAAGTAGTTTTGTAACATAATTTAAAGTGGAATACTTGGTAAACAGATCTATCATACTGTCCCGTGATTCAAATGCATCTTTCCCAGCATGGCTTCACTGTCAAACTGAGATTAAATAGCAATATGTGAAAAGACAGGCATATCAAAGGTTAACACACAATCTAGAATGGAACAGTATTAAAGAAGGTGATGGTTAACTGAGGCTTTCTTTTTCCCCCACACAGAAAATACCATGCATTGTTTATTGCAGTGTTATCACATTGGTTTGTCGGATCCAGAGCATACACACAAGTTGAGAATGCTTTCCAAAGATTGAAGAGAAGGAAGAGATTGGGGGTTTTCTCGTTTGTTTAATCCATGTATTTTCTACCTTGGACCCCTTTTTATCTGAAATTAGAGTTTCAGGAGGAGGCTGGAGGGGACTTGTGGATGAAGGCAGGTTCCTGAAGGAATAGCATCCTTTTCGGCTGTCATTGAACCACGAGAAAGGCATGCAAGGTGAGCGGGGGGAGGCCTGCGCGGCAGAGGATGGCTTCGGTTTCCAGTGTCCCAGCCTGCCTCTGAAGATCCTGTTTCAAGGAAAAAATTGGTGTGTCAGACAAAGAAAGGGCAGATGGGAAACTGACTGAACTTCTGAAGAGACACTGAATATGGTTCGAAGCAACAGTTTGAGAAACTGTTCTACATAACAGCTAAGAGTAAATATTTTGCTCTTTTGACTAGAACACGAATCTTAATTTTTATCTTTTTCTGCATCTAAATGGATGCTGTAACACTGAGCAACATCTTTGTATTGCTATTGCCAGTGTGAATTTTTAGAAATTGTGCCTGGTAAATGTATGCAGATGAATTAAAATCAAGGAGGGGCACAGTCCTTCAGGAACTACTGTGAGGTTAGTGATCACGGCGTTCCCTTTATTCGGGTCACACATCAGTGCCTCACTGCTAGTGACACTTCTTAGCTCATATCCAGCATTCTTTCCTGGCCTCATCTCAACACATGTTCCCAAGAGTCTAAACTTTAGAAAATGATATATTGAAATAACCTGGAAATTTCAGGGCTCAGGATACTTTGAGCGGAACACACACGTTATTGGGTTTTCATCATCATCTTAGTGCCTTTTCATAGAAGCACCAGACCGGAAGTCTTAATAATCTATTTGGAGATCCAGGGTCTATCACCTCCTGAGTACAGCCCTGGGCTTCCTCTCAGCCTCTATTTCCTCATCTGTAAAAGGTGGATATTTTATGTATCTCCTATGGTTAAGAATTAATATGTGTGATTATTAAGAATTAAATAATAGGTGATATAATATATGTGAAAGTGCTTTGAAAACTGTAAATGTATAGGGGTCTATGTTTATTGTTTAACATTGAAAGGATTAAAAAGCATTTGAGAACACAATTGGAAAACAGGTATTCTTAATATCTTCCATATTTATAGTTATGTTTTGGTCAGAGAAAAATAGTCATCATGAGTCGAGGCAGAAATGGGCAGTAGTTCTGTGCATCTGGGAAGACATCACCTTACTATGTCCAAAAGACAATGGATGCAATGCCTATTGTTTGCTAGTGGCTGATGTCATGACAGCAAAGAGATTCCCTTTCAATTAAAAGCGCATCAACACCGTAGTTAGACAGCTTATGTCCCACGTGGACACTGAACTGCCACCTTCTCACATCTCATTTCAAATACTTTGTAACATTTCAAGTTTACATAAATAAATAGTATAGCTCCTAACAATTCATGTTCATTTCTAAAGATGACTCTGAGAATCAAATGGGACAACAAATGTAAAACCATCTTGTAAACTGTAAAGCAGGGTACAAAGGTAAACGGACTGTAAGGATGAAAACTAAAGAGAATGAAGTCTGTGAAGTTTGGGTAGAACACTGAGATCACAGGTTGGGTGAGCAGGAGTGTTGGTCACACTAAGGATTCCAGAAGATCTGATGATTTGAATGGTGTATTTCTTTTTTAAAAAAAGGGGGGGGGGCGGGCGTGGTGGGAGAGGTGGTCCGCAAGGATAATAGAGAAAGACTGACCAGAGATTATCAACCTTCAATTTCATCCTAAAGTTTAAACCAAAAAAAAAAAATAAAAAAATTGTATCCTTAAATCCACCGATTTACTATCAAAAGATGGAGGAGAGGGGTACAATAACTGAACATAAGAAAGCATGCTGGCAGAGTAAGATTCATCCTCTGTAAGAAGTGCTTTTTATTCCTGGGTTGTGGACCAGTGCAGGGTTTCCCAAACAAGTCTGCTCAGAATCATGTGGGCAGCTGTTCAGATGCAGATTCCTGGACGCCCACACTTACTGAATTAGAATCTGAGGGAAAGGAAGGGCGGTGTCGACCTGGAATCTATTTTAGCACATATCTGAGCTGGCTCTTGAAGTTTTAATATCTATACTTATTAATATTATTTGAAATGCAAATGTGAGGCTTCTGGATCCGACTAGGTTTACTTACAGAAAATTATTGCACTGGCTCCCCATACCCTAATTTCCTCTTTCCCGGGTGACATAACGAGAACCAGTTGTCATCCTAATACTTAGTCTACAATGTAGATGAGAAATCTAAAAAATATGAATCTGGATGGTTATATAGGAGGACAGCTGAGTCCCCTGCCCCCCACCTTCTCCTCCCACCCTCCCCTCCAGGAAGAGAAACCTTATATCCTTAATATAAACAAATACAACTTGGGGAGGATCTTGGTTTTCTTAGCTTTGTAAAGTAATATATGTCCTAGAGCAGCGGTTCTCAACCTGTGGGTCGTGACGCCTTTGGGGGTCGAACGACCCTTTCACAGGGGTCGCCTAAGACCATCGGAAAACAAAAAGATATTTACATTACGATTCATAACAGTAGCAAAATTACAGTTATAGAGTAGCAACGAAAATAATTTTATGGCTGGGGGTCACCACAACATGAGGAACTGTATTAAGGGGTCTCGGCATTAGGAAGGTTGAGAACCGCTGTCCTAGAGGAAGATAACACTAGTATCTCTAGCTTTACAACCTTGGGAACGTCTCCATGGAGATGGGTCCCATGCCCCTCTTCCCATCCTTACTCCTTGAAAATGTAATTACCGACCTCTGGGGAGATAAATATCTCTGCGGATCTCACTATCTACCTGGTCATAATTTAACTTCTAAGGCTGGTCTTTTAGCTCAGGTGCCATAGTCTAGTAAAAATGCTCAGAAAGCTCCAACTGTGCAGAAACAAAAATATTTTCTCTGTAGTTTCACACTCTTATAATTGGGCCTATTTGAGGTAAACTGGACTTGATGATTACTTCCCCCTTTGGTTATACATTTCTGAATCGATTAAGCAAAGTAACATGGGAAATAAATCTTTAAGTGTTCCATTCACAATTCAAATAAGGTATGGTGGTGCTTCCATATATGGATACTGTTTCAAAGTTTATAAACAGGCCATTATGAACGGCAGCACGATGATCTTGTCCGACTCCCAAGTGAACTGCTTTTGTGACAACGCTTTTAGAGCAACCACCACCACTTTAAAAAAAAAAAAAGGACAGAAAATAAGAATATTGTGGCCTAATTTTTGTCATTGTAATGACTTTTTCAAAAGGACTTTTGGTAGTTTAAATCCTGGCCAGGCAACATTTCAAACAAAATCTGAAGACCACATCTGAACACTTTCATAACATTCTCACTGCCAGAAAAATATTCAAGGCTGATAATTCCAGGTGGACTTGTACATCCAGCACTGCCGACTGGCCCTGAGGCCACAGTGTCAGTGTGATGAAAGAGATCATGGAAGCTTAGCCTCAGGTGATATCCAGAGGCTTTCTTAGATAATGGAAGATAATGCAAGGCATGGAGCAAAAGTTACACAGAAAGCATTGCAAGCCCACATCTAAGGAGGTAACATCCTCACTGCTGAAACCCCCAGGTCCTGGGGTATTTTGAAGAGTCTTTTCTGAGTCTCCAGGAGGTCTGGCGTGCCTTTTTGAGGCTGTATCCTGTCCTCCTCATTTCCTTATTTATCCTCAAATTCTGTGACCTAATGTAACCTCTGTGTGTTTGCCAGGACCCATAAATAACTGAGCAGAGGCGTGCTCCCATTTGCTTGGACCTAAGAGTATGGAATATTCGTTTCAAAAAATAAACTCTCCATTGCTGTAAAATTACAGACCTATCACCTTACCAAACATGCTTTCTAAAATAAATACCATTTATCCTTTTAGATAAGTTGAATTCTTGGGCCTACAAAAGGTGCAGAGAAGTTTCGGAAACAGTTATCTATTACTGACCACTCTTACGGTCTGTTTCACTTGGTGGAGAAATATGTAGAGGATAACATAAAATTCTTCTTTCCCTCTTTCCTTGCTTTCCTTTATCCTTTCTTCCCTTTCCCTTTCCCATCTTAACTTTAACTCTGAGGCAGGTTATGGGCCAAGGTGCATAAGCTCCATATAGATCCTTCATAGTCTTCTTGAAAAATCAAGATTGGTAGAAGTAAACTCTTAATAGATCTGAAAATAATTTCTAGGGGTTCAAAATAGGTAGGCATCCTGTACTTCCTTCACCTTTTTTAGCTTGTACACTACCATTTCTGGAAAAAAATAGAATCACAAGTCATAGCTATATCTCAGATTGTTTTATTGTTAGTAACCAGGAGAAAGAATGGCTTCAAATTAAGTCTCTGTAACCCTAAAATATCATTTGGGGGTGTGGGAGGTCAGGTGGGAGGAGTAACTGTTTCCTGGCATTTAAATGGTTTATAAATAGTTAACAACTCTCTAGAGCAATTAACTCATTTTGAAACCAGGGGCTAACACCCCAAATATAATTTCTCAGGTAAACAATACATGGTGATTTTTTTTTTTGGTTGGTTTTAACTTTGAATACAAGGTGTATGAAGTATTCAGAATTTAATTGGATGTTGTCAAAATATAATTAGGAGTTCAGGAATTGCCAGAACAGGAAAAGCACAAACAGAATATAGAATTCAAGAAGGTAGTAAAGGAAGTTAACTGAAGAAAGTTAGGTGCAACCACAGGGCTGCAGACTTCCATTTACTCACATAGATGAAGTAATTCCGTAAGGTTCTAACATCCACCAAGAAGACTGAAGCTGTAAAGCCAGACCCTTCTGAAGGGGAGCTGGAGATCCTAAGGGCTAATAGCTATGACAAGCTAGTACCCCTCTGCAGCTCAAGCAACCTGGACATATCCTGCTTCCTGAGGTATGGTCTAAATCTCTCATCAATAACCAATAGCCCACCTGAGATGGTCACTGTAGAATGTTTAACCTTAACTTATGATGAGGTTCAGGATACGCTACCTCAAAACATGGCACCTTGTCATAGCGAATATTTTAAGCTGAAGGAATCTGAGAAGTGGCAGGTGCAGGGAGGGCTGTCTGACCTCCCCCATGTCCCCTAAAGCAGGTCATAAGATCCTCATGTGAGAGAGGCCCTCTCTATACCCCTATATCAGGTGGAAAAGAGCATCCTCACCTCCATAGATGGAGGGATGTCAAGAGGAATCTGAGCAAATGAATGCATAGGTCTTGCTAAATTTCCCATTTCACTA